AGAAACACTAATTGAACATGATGGACGGAGCGAGAAAGCACGTAAAGGGTATTGATCCCGGTTATTTATCCACTCTAACAGCAGAGGACAGAAGACGGTTTGACCAGAAATTGGTCAAAAGCATCGATGGACGACAAATCACAATTTTCAACCCCGACAAAGCCCGGACCAAACCAAATTTCTGGTCAGAATCGCCAACTACCTGGACAAATATTCACTTCGGCGATATCCACAATGACTTGGTGGAAACTCCTGGGCCATTCACAGCAGAAAAGATGAAAACCTCCAAGAGTCTCGATGTGTTGTTGAACTTGTTGGAGTCCATGGTTTGTTAGGATCTTCTACGTTTGCTCTGCGAATGTTTAAAAGCCGTTTAATTCACCGTTAGCAGTTCTTTTCACTCAGAATATGAAAAAGCCTAACCTAACCCTTCTATTTGTGCATCCGATAATGCAGCAGGAATTTACCATTATCGGGGATAAATACATGAGGTTACGCACTGTGTTTGACCGCTATCCTGTTTCTTGCCTCCGACCAAAATATTTCCCAGCATGCAACGCGGGCTTTTAATAACAATGACGTCAGCTGAAACTCGCCTATAAATATACATATACATATACATACACATATACATATACATACAGTATCTACATATCTCCATGGAAACAAGCTGTTGACACCAGCAGGCCAAGGAGAGGCAATCACTGATTAATGTATTTATATATATATTTTTAAGATCACCGAATAAATAAATGCAAGATGGATTTAACACCATACTGTGTAACAATCTCACAAAATGTTCAAAACAAAATGAAACAAATTATATGTATTTTTTTCTTTTAGTATTATGAGGCACTGTTTTGTATCTCTATTGACTATTTACACAAAAACTACAAAAATAAGCTTGTGTCTGAACCATAGACCGTATATATGAACGCAATATACGCCACGTGTCAAATAGGAAGCTCGCCAGGAGGTTCTTCCGGCTCCTTCTGACTCTGGCTCCATTTGACTTACACTGGGATTTCTCCCTCTATAACTACAGCACTGAGCCTCATCATTTTGGTCTTAAAATGTTCGTATTAACCCGCTCTACATGATCCTGATTTATTTTTTTCTGCTATTTTGTCCGTCAAAAAATCCTATTCATAACATAGAGCCACATCACACTCGCTTCTCCACTTCTTTTATACAGTCTGTGGTTTGGACACATTTCTACCATTGCGAGTCAGGATCAGTGCCTTGGCAAAAGTCTCCAACTACTTCCAATCTACGGCAACTTCAGTGTATCTTCATACCTTTAGTTAATGCACATATTGAATCATAGCATCTCTAACATCCCTAAATACTACGGGGAGCCTGCATTGCATCTTGGTCTAACACTGTACAGAAAATGTATTTATAGAAACCAAGTGCACCGTGGGCGAAATACATTATAATCCATTGGAGTTCATTCAGTGCACAGTTTGTCAGACATATGGTATTTACTGTGAACAATGCACTCCTCTGATGCTAAGGTCACTCTTATAGGTTAGTTATATAAAGCTGAGAAATGGGTAGAGAATGTCAATAGCAGAATAACAGCAGAGACGACCCTCAGCTCTATTGAACGTGCTATAGGCGACCATGGCAGGATCCTTTCTACAATGTTTACACTAGATGCTCTCAAAATTTATAAAATAAATATAATAAAATTGGAATTAAAGGTTGTGTAGAGGATTTTTTAAGGGAAGAGAAATACAGCGACAGTCCACCTTCCTCCTCCACAGCTCCCTCAGTAGAAACATCTCCTCCCGCCTATTTACTCTAGAAATCACGTTTGTTTACAGCCGGTGCATGTTCAGAATTACTGTTGAAGTGACCTGTCTAGAAATAATTTAGCGACCGACGTGTCTTCAGTCTTTAGACCCTTCGTCTGCTTCAGTCGCACCATCTCTGCAAGGAATCTCCAAGAATCACCTCAGTTTGGTTTTGCTCCTTTTCCCCTTCTCTTCTTCTTTCAGCGACCTCAAACGGACTTTCTTTTGCGGCGAACTAGTCGTGGATTCTCGTTAGCAATCGCAACAGAGTTTGTGCGAATTGCGAGGAAGCTACAGTTTGAAAAAGCCTCTAAGAACCGCTGCATAAACCACGTAATCCCGTAAGCCGCGAGTCAATTAGTCTAGAAATGTAGGGAGTTTGATTGACAACCTAACAGCCAATAGAAAATTAGGTAGCCTGGTTGTCTATTGGCTGATGTTTATCTGGCGTCACTATGTCCACAGTTGATAGATTTTCTTTTTTTTTTTTTTGATCATCATAATTACAAGGCTGCGTCTCTGTAATGGTATTTCAAACTTTCATTGACAATTTGAAACTGAAAAAAAAAATCCTCCATACAACCTTTAATATACAGACTGAATATTTAGACTGAGTTCTCCTCTCAAACTGAAAACTAAAAGTAAAAGGTAGTTGTTAATTTGAAAACTATCTATGACTCTGACATCACAAGGTTAAATCTCACAAGAATCAATTTTGTGTAATATAGGACCTTTTATTACAGCACATAGACTAAAATGTTGTATATAGGGACATATATTAAATTGCAAAAACATTATATAGGATAAATAACCTGGCTATAGCAATAATAGTGATTTTCTAATGTTCTAATTAAACTACAATAAGAACTGTAGAATTAAAATGGGGACCAGTTGCCACTAAGTCAAACAGCCAAGGCATTATGTAAGTAGGCCTGTTTTCTTTTGTAATTTCTGGAGTCAACAATTCTAACAATTTAGAGTTATTTCACTATATGTGGTGCGGAACATCTCTGTTGATGTTGATGATGATATCTTAATGTCTCTATACATCATCCCTTCAAATAAAAAAAAAGAAACTAAACTACAACTAACTACAAAGACCACAAAACTAAAAAGGACTACAGAATCAGAAAATTGGTAAACAGTCAGTTGCAAAGACATACAGTAAGTGCAGTATAACCAAAGTAATAATAAAGATCATTTTCTAATTACAAAAATACAATGGCATGCCAAAACACGCATCAAGAATCTTGGTCTTCCGGTCATCGCACAATCCATACTGGGGAGGATTTTCTGAAAAAGTGAGCATCAAACCGCCATGTTTGTTTTCTCAGTGGGATGCATCTATTGACAAAGCCGATCTTTTTTTAGTCTTTTGAACTATATCGCTTTTGTTTCTGATTCTGATATTGTCATACTTTAGTTTTGGGATTTGGACATCATAATTGTGTGGTTGTTGGATGTCCTAACAGCGGAAAACGGCATTGAATTGAAAAATAGTGAAAGGCGAAGGCGATGGGCAGTACTGATCGAACATTTTGTATGTGGAGCGCCATCAAAGCAAAATCCCGATCCCTCACTCAACATCGGTTACGAATTTAAAAAGACAACACCAAAGTGAAAGGCACCAGCTGTTCACCAAGAAACAACTTCCACTGCAAAGAGACCAAGACTTAATGTTGCTGTAAAACCACAAGAACAAGAAAGTGCGAGCTCGGCCTGTTTGTCTTCTGCACCTCTCACTTAAGAAACGAGTTCCCGCTTTGATGGCTCCACATACAAAATGTTCGCTGCAAACTCAGGATGATTTAGGCAGTCAAAGGTTTCCTTTTTGGTCCTTCCCGTGGATCAATCCTGCCCATCGCCTTCACCTTTCACTATTTTTCAATTCCGTTGGGAAGGGAAACAGTTTGAACAGAGGTTTGTAGTCACACACATCTGATTCCCTTTTGCATTTATGGAGTTCGCAAACATATTTCTCGAGCCATTTTCCGCTGTTAGGATCCAACAACCACACAATTATGATGTCCGAATCCCAAAACTAAAATATGACAATATCAGAACCAGAAACAAAAGAGATATGGTTCAAAAGACTAGAAAAGATCGGCTTTGTCAATGGATACATCCCACTGGGAAAACAAGAAAACAAACATGGCGGTTTGATGCTCACTTTTTCGGAAAATCCTTCCCAGTATGCACTGCGCAATGACAGGAAGTCCGAGATTCTTGATGCTTGTATTAAGCTACAATAACAAATGTAGTATTAAAATGGGGACCAGTTGCCACTAAGTCAAACAGCCAAGGCATTATGTAAATAAGGCTGTTTTCTTTTGTGATTTCTGGAGTCAACAATTCCAGCAATTTAGTTCACAATCTCTGTTGATCTTGATCTGTTGGTTTCTATACATCATCCCTTCAAATAAAAATTAAACTAAACTACAACTAACTACAAAGACCACAAAACTAAAAAGGACTACAGAATCTGAAAATTGGTAAACAGTCAGCTGCAAAGACATACAGTAACTACAGTATAACCAAAGTAATAATAAAGATTATTTTCTAATTCCAAAAACACAATGTCATGCCAATACAATGATAACTAGGGGAGGGATGAGATGCAATTTCCACAAAACAAAACAAGTTACGAGATTGGAACTACGAGAATGAGGCAAGATGAGATTTTGGCATTGTGCGATTCAGTTCTTGAATTTGGTCTTATCATTTTTGATATTTTTGCTGTCATTGTAGCAGTGCTTTTGGAATTACAGCTTCTTAAAAAACTGAACTCACCAGAACTTAATTTTGTCATCCAATCCAAACGTAAAAACATGAAAAAATACAAAATCTCACAAGATCATTTTCAGCATGTGTGCACAATCTCGTGCCAATTTTGTCTCGCGAGATCTTGTGGGACGAGATCTTGTCCCAACTACAGAATTTATCTAATTTAAATGTCAAATAATCAGAATAATAAGAACACTCAAACAGCTTTACATTAAGAAACCATTCGCTCTTAAACTCATATTCCAGAGACACTGAACGCAAGCCAGGAGGAGTGTCTTACCCAAGTACACAACAACAGGAGAATTCAAACCATCAACTTTCAGATGAGCGAAAGAACAAACCAAGAGAAAATGGCCTCAAATCGATCATGCGTATCTGTATTACTGTGCATTCAGTTTTCGTGTCATGTGGACTTACCTTTGGAGTCTTGGTGCACTTTCCGTTGCGTGCATCTTTAATGTAGGCGATATCGAGCAGGTCAGTGTCCTGTGAGAAAAACAAAACACAAAACAAGTCAATCCAAAAATCTTCAGGAAACCACACCTTAAAGACAATATCAGACATTAGAACATAGACTGCTCCATCGACTCTCATTCCAGTTGACTTTACATTGAAAAATTGTCTTAAAATGTTTGTATTAAAATGTTCCCGTCTACATGATCCCGATGTTTGTAATTCACTATTTTATCCGTAAATCAGTTCCTATTCCTAATATGGACCTGGCTCCAAATTCTTTCCTATAACTGCTAGACTCGTGAGCTTCATTTGACCGAACAGTATGGGGGACGTCACACTTCTTTATACAGTCTACGGGTTGGACTCATTTCACTAAAACATACACAACCGGTCAAGAGATTTAGAACACCCAAATGTTTCCAGTTATTCATTGCAATTCAAGTCGTGCAAGTCCAGTGAAGAGCTTGAAATGGTACAAAGGTAAAAACTGAACAGCCAGAGGTTCAAAAAAAAAAGATAAAAGATACAAAACACAAGTCCAAGCTCTGCCAAAACTACCTCAGGAAAAAAGATGACAAGACAAGATGGTGAGCTTGAAAACATGGAGTGTCCAGCACAGACTCCAAACTTAAACCCCATCGAGCTGGTTTGGGATAATAATAATAATAATAATAATGATACATAAGACTTATATAGCGCTTCTTTTGGACACTCAAAGACGCTTTACAAACAAATAAAAGTAACACTGTAGAAAACGGGGGAATCGTGGGGGGAATGCCAGTTTGAACAGGTGAGATTTTAGATGTGATTTGAAGTGCTAAGGTGAGTCCGAGTTCCTGATGGATTGTGGGATGAGCTGGACAAAAGAGTAAAGCAACCTACAAGTGTCACACATTTATCTAAACTTCTGCAACAGACGAAGATGAAGGGAAGAACTTTCTGAAAAATACTTGATTTCTATCGTAAAATGAATAAGCCACGAGTTCAGCTGTTATATCTGACAAAGGTGGACACTTTCATCAATCAAAAGTTTAGAATGTGTTTTGGTCAACAGTAAATAGTAAAAAACTTGAAAAAGTGTGTTGTTCTAAAACTTCTGACCGGTAGTGTAGTTACAACATAATTATTTAGATTCTAACCACTCTACATTCATAGCAACAAGGCTCCATGTATTTCTGGGCTGTTAAAGGCTTCACAATAGGTAAAATCCTCAAACTAAGGTACCATTTCATGTATTACTACGTGACATCACAAGGTGGAGAGCCTAATATGCAGGGTTTGTGTGTTAAACATGTGTGAATGAAACAAAAACACAACTCCAGGTCTGTTTGTGATGAGGAAACATTATAACATAGATCAGAAAATAGCATAACGTGACCCCTTTAAGTCCTGTATTGACTGTGGGTTATTAAAACTTCCACATATTAAGATACTCATATGAAGCACATTAAGTCTAAGAAAAACTGGGGCAGATTTTAGACTATAATGTTAAACTCCAGAGCGCAGACATCCTTGAGTGCATGAGAAAATCCACCCTCTGTGCTATTGGTTTGGAGGGAACATATTTTATTAAAGTTTTATTAAAATTCTGCTCCTCCAATCCCATTACTGGAGCGAGGCCATCATCATTATGCATCTAACTGCTGTGGATGAGCCCCTCTCCCTGTGCGTCATATTTGATTTGTAAAGCCTTTTGTCCATAGAGAGCTTATGGAGATGTCCTGGAGTGTGCCGACAGCCATCAGGAACGTAGATATTAAATATATATTTATTAGATTTAATTCTCAGATCATTTCTTTCTAAAAACCTTGGCCATGGAAATATATGTTGATAGCAAGGGATTATTTTGTTTTAGATTTTCCCCAATAATCACCAAACAGATTTACTTTAAACCGCAGTGCTCCTTTAAAGGTGCATTACATCACTTTTCTGGTGGGGGGTCCATCAAATGCTTTTCTCCATGGAGATGTTATTGCTTTGTTCGGGATGTTTCACAGTGTGACATTAAACCTTTCTATCTTCATGGAAACCAAACCAGACCAAGTTACAGGTCAGATCTGTGGAGAGGCGACCCCGCTCACAGTCAAAGTGCCTGATTTTCGAGGTAATTTTGAGTTAAAAAAACACCTGTAATTGAATAAATGTAAAGTTGATCTGCTTAATGTCATATTGTGGAACATTCTAAGTAATGGCGTATCCATGGAAACAAGCAGCTGACACACCCTTAACAGAAAAGTTACATAGTTCATAATGCTAATGGAAACAATATAAATTGTGGTCTAGGTTTAACCTTGTGCACCAAGATGGATTCTCATGGTTTGTCAGTTCACAAACTCAGGAGAATCCATCTTGGTGTCAGCTTGTGCGATGGGGCCTGACAGGTGGAGAGCGACCAATCACGTCGCAGCATTGAGGTTTGTGCAGAAGTCAAAGGTGAAGCACCCAAACGAACCAAAACAAAACATGATGACACCAACAGACCAACTTCAGTCTATTTTAGCGTCAATACCACACGAAAAATAAGTGCTGTGTGCATTTGTGGACATTGAATTTTCAAACAGTTGCCATGACGTTCTCCTTTTTTCTGATCTCTTTTAGTGAGAGACATTCCAGGTTGATAATGAGGAGAACTCAACTCAGAGTGACTCACAATATCAATCTGAGCCAGGTTAGCCTAGGTTGTAAGAAAAGTGAAATATGATCTGTTTTACTGTATCGCCAACCCCCACCTTGGGCTGTCACAATAACCACAAAAATCAACCACCGTGGTACTAAGAGGCCCACCGTGGTGCATGTTGGGCCACTGCGATCATCGCATGTGACCAACGTGACACGACCCAGAGACCTGCACCCGCCCGGACCCGTTAACATTCCACCTGTTACCGTACGTGTCCATGATAACCCAGGACTAACCCAGGACTAAGGTGCGCCCGCATAGACCGTCTGGTGACTGCAGGTGAAAGGACCAATGCAGAACTCCATGCTGCACGGAGTTAAGTGCGGCAGTCACCCGATCGCGCTTTGTGGACACCTGCTCCGCATGTTTGTACTCTGGGGCTCTCTCTCTTAAGTCCACACGTACCCGACCTGGAGCAGGACTCTGACCCGGGCTGCCACAGTGAGAGCTGGAGAGATGCAGCGGCACTTGTTCCAAAGCCAAATGTTACTTCTCCCACGCTACACACACTATATCCACACGATAATCAAGGTACATGTGCATCTTTTGCAACAAGCGCATCATCGCAGAGAGTTTTCAGTGCCGCTGGAAACAGTATAACTCTGGGGGTTGGGGGTCCAATATCATCGCATACCGCAGTGTTAAGCCGCTATACCGCACGGGAGGAAAAATTCACCCCAAACATCCAACGTCAATAGAGAAAAGACTAACACACTTTTAATGTAAATGAAAATATATAAACTGTCATAGCCCAGACAGCTTTCAGGAATGTAGATTAATTTAGTGTTAATGCTCAAATTATACAGAAAACCTTGGGCATGAAAATATATGTTGAAAGTAGAGCCCGACCGATATATCGGTTGGCCGATATTATCGGCTGATATGGGCACCTGGGGGCATATCGGCTATCGGCCGATATTTCACGTGGGCATGTGATACGTCGTTATAAATCTTAGACTCTCTACATTCTGTTCATTTAATCCAATTTACAGACAGATAAATGTCCTAATATGTGGCTCCACATCAGTATTTATCTACGGAGTCATTTGTGTGTGTGTGTCCGTACTGTCCCTGAACACACCACAGAGTCGCGTCACTCACGTGTGTTTGTTTACACCCCTGCAGACACAGAACCAAACACTGAGATTATATTCTTTTTACGGACAATCGGTTTGAGTCTGGATTAAAAGGACATTTATTAGTGCAGATTTGTGATGTGAGGAGGAGCCTGTATGAGCGGTGAGTGTTGGAAATATGTCGACTCTGAAGCTAGTTTTTGTCATTTGTTATGGGTTAGCTGCTGTAGCTCCCGCACATAAACTGACTGTTTTCTATTGGTCTGTTCTAAAGTGACTATATTGGCCGTATATTTGCTACTGGACCTGCACTGATATGTAAATGAGCTGTGAATAGAGGTGTGAATTATGACATTTGCGCATATAATTAATTACCGCAGTGCGCACGTATTTACGGCTAAAGGCTAATAGCACTAGTTTCTTTACTAGTTATGGGTCAGTCGCGAACGAAATGACTCTTAGAACCGGCTCTTTGAAGGGAACGACGGGAGACTGATCCTTATTGAGAGCCGTGTTTTCTCTTTCTCTCACTTTTTTTCTCTTCACGCTGCGTGCAGACTCGTGGTTTGACAGCGGCAGCGGCTAAAAACAAAACTTTGAGAAATATGCGTGTACGTAGGGTTAAAAAACAAACAAAAAAACGAGCATATTTGACTGTAGTTTAGCATAAAATAAATAAGTCCTGGTTTAGTCCTTTTTCAGTCCTGGTTTAGTCCTGGTTCAGTCCTGATTCAGTCCTGCTTTAGATGTGCTTTAGTCCTGCTTGCAACAAAACAATCTGAAGAGCCACTTGGGAGCCAAAAGAACCAGCAGCTTTTAGTGAGCCGAGCCAAAAGAGCCGGTTCTCTAAAAAGAACTGGAATACCCATCACTAGTGTCTAGAATGTGATGCAAAAATGCCATTAGTCCAACCTACTGTCTGTAAATATGATGTAAAGAGGCAGAAGAACAATAAATGTTGCCTAAATAAACCCAATTCAAAATCCACCAGAGCCAAACCTAAGTTTTTTAAACAATTCAACATTTACAGTGTATTTTTACATCACTAAATATATCGGTGATTATATCGGCTATCGGCAGCTCCAACTCCCATTATATCGGTTTCATATCGGCCACAGCAAAATCCATATCGGTCGGGCTCTAGTTGAAAGTGAATGGATTGTGCTTTTCTCCTCTAATAACTGCAATCATTTGTCAAACAAGTGATACATTAAATGTAAATGAAATTCAAACCCGGTCTAAACCAGCTCAAAAGTCCTTATTTTTGTACAGATTCC